TTCCCCATTCTGTAAATGAGTCAATAATATCTTGACTTAACGAAAAGCAAAAAAAATAATAAGCGGATAAAGGAAGTAAGAGTCTTAACTGCTTTCTGTCAAGTCTCATGTTTTCAGCACAGCGTCCCCGCCAAGGGGGACAGAGCCAGCCTGGTGTAGCTTATCTCCACGTCCCCTTATCTCCGAGCGGGTCTTAGGCCTCCCTCCAAGTCAGGGCTGAGAACTTCCTCGAAGCCAGGAATCCTCTGAGAAATCCGATAAGGGCTTTGTGGTTAGAAAACCACCCGGGCCTGTGAAGTTTTGCTGCAGACCCTCTACAAGGAACCTGCCAGGAGGCCATCAGGGGAGAAACGCGCCTCCTTCTGTGACGTATAAACACTGCGAACGTGGGGCCCAGGCCCGGACAGACGGCGGCTCTCCATCAGAGGACACCTGGCCTGCCCGGAGCAGAGCGACGCTTTCCTACTTAAGGTCATCAAATCCTGAAGGCGGAGGCGAGGTCGTGCATTGCAGCTCATGCGCAGACAGACGCAGCGAGTGTAAGCAGGATGTACGGGCGGTGACCAGGAAGAAGAATCAAGCAGTGTCCCCGAGTGCAAACGCCACCAGGGCCGGGTGAGTCCTGCTCAGTCTCCCCTGCTACCGGCCGCTCACTGCCTGGGAGGAGGGGCCCCGAGTAACCCACTCTGGCCGGCGGGTCGTGTGCGTCAATCCCTCTCCGGCCCCTGGGGTGGACGGAGGTCGGGAGGGCAAGGTGCTTAAGAGGAGGCGTGAGCCCAACCGAAACGTCTTGGCCGGGGCCGGGCCCTCGGCCACATCAGCTGCACGCTCACGGAGAAGCTGCAGGACCGATGTTCGGGGCCTCGCAATGAAACCATGAGGAAGGGGAGGCCCGGGGAGGCCGCCTGGCTCGCCCGAAGCCAGGCGGTTGTGGCGAGGTCACAAAGAAGGAGGGAGGAGAGGAGGGACGGGAAGCCTGCGCCGAGGCCCAGGCGAGGAAGCAGCATGCCACCTCCTCGCTCTCCTGGCGGCACCGGTCGCCATCATTCCCTGGCCTGGGGACGGCCCCTGCCTGGACACCCCTGCGGCCCTGCCCCCTCCCCACAATGGTTCAGCAATGGACACTGATCCAGTGACTGAGGACTCAGCCCAACCGCCTTCTTCTGAGGCCTGGGAGCGGGGAATGCAAAGGGGGCCAGGCGCGGGTCTTGCACAGGCCTGGGAGCTGGGAACGCAAAGGGGGCCAGGCGCGGGTCTTGCACAGGACCGTGGTGCCTTGGCCAGTGAGCGGCAGAGGCCGGGTGACAAGGGAGAAGCTGCTTATGTGCTCATCACGGAAACTCGCCGTATCCTTGGGAAACAAGACTAAAGCCCTCGGCTCTCTGCAGAGACATCTTTCTGACCCGAGAACGAAGCGCACTCACTCCGCCTTTCCCACGCTGCAGCCTGCCCAGCTGACTTTAAATAACGAACCGGCAGAGAGCGGAGAGTCCGGCCAGCGAGGCGGGGAAACCGGGTTTCCGATGAGACTGGAAAGGTCCTCCGGAGCCTGGCAGGTTTCGCCAGGAGGCCGGAAGCTCCGGAAATCAACACCGGTGCAACCCTTCTGCTAGCGCACCTTTCATCTCCAAAGCCCCCCACGTGTTAAAAATTCCTCGCTGTCCTCATGACACACCTGCTTTAAGAAGGGCGAAAAGGTAGGCGGGCTCCGAAGCCAAAACACAAGGCTTTTAAGAGCGCAACGCCGTTTTCGGCCCAGCGCGTGGCTGGGGGTGCGGCTGGGTGTCCGGTCTGTCAAGTGGCCCAGGCTGCGCTTCGTGGCTCGGGACCGCGTCGACGTTCCGTGCCAGCCCTTTACTTAACGAGGCAGCAGCACGGGAGGCTCTGAAGAGGTGACCTGATCACGGATTCCCGCCTGGGCGGCTCGTGCCCAGGCCTGTACCTCACGTTTCTCGCCGTAAGCAGCCCTGCCCGTGTCTGTGCGTCGAGGTTCACAGGCGCTCGAAACGCCGCTCTGCAGACCCCTCAGGAGCCAAACCACCCTCAAGGAGCCCAGTCTCGTTGACCATCCCGCAGTCCAGTGCCACCTCCACCCCCCGCTTCCTCCCACCTCCACGTAACCTCCCTCACGCTTCCTCCTTCACCCCAAACGCCTGACAGAGCCTGCGAACTGCCGCTGCGATGAAGCTTTTTTTCCCCCCAGTCTGTTGAGGTCTTGCTTCCAGGATTATCCTCTGTTTGGCTCTAATACGCTTTTATAAGAATTCTCTATAGGTTTGCATGTCCTGACGTCGGCAGACCCCATCCCAAGAGGGGCCCATGAAGGCCCTGGCAGGGGAAGGATCGTTGCTTCTGGTCACCTGGCCCGTGACAGTCCACGCAGGCCTGGCTGTCATGACGTTAAGCGCGCTGGCCTTAGTTTGGTCCATCCCAAGGACAGGTGGAGGCCAGGATGTCCCCTACATACAGACTGGAGCCCAATTCAAGCCTCAAAAGTGGACTGTCACAGGCCAGGTGACCAGAAGCACTGAGAGGCTTGGGGCTCACAAATGCAGCCTCTATCCTGGGCTTCGGTACTTACTAACAGTAATCCTCTGATCTTGAACCCCGAGCCCCATTTCTTGTCTAGGAAACGGGCAGGAGGCAGTGTTCCAGGGATGGGGTACGTGATCCAGGCAGAGGGCGCTAACTGAAGGGTCGTGAGCTGGACTCCGCCTTCATGGGCACCTGAGCCCTGAGAATGAGCTGCGCCTCCGTCACCGAGCTCCATGCGGGGCTGGCACGCCCCCGAGAGCTTCCGGACCAAGTCCTATCATTTCCAGTGATGTCACGTCCGCCGCCACACAGGCCTTTAAATGAAGGAAGCAGGTGCCAGCACCGTTTCTGCCCCTCACCCGGGGCCCATCATCTGGAACAGCAGCATCCGTGGGCACGTAATAAACCATGTCTGATGGTGACGAACCGTGGGATCGGGAACAGGTTAAGACCCCGACCCGGAGCTGTTGGGCTTACACGTGAACCCTGACACCAGGCACCAGCCGAGCTCTGGTCATGGAAACCGAAACCCCGGGGAGCTCCCTCGCCCCACACCCCGGGGAGCTCTATCATCCCACACTGACCTTGGGACAAATCCCGTGACTATTAAGCAGCACAGAGAAAATGCCGCATTTATGTTTCTGGGGCGAAAAAGCCACAAAAATTGGCCAAATGTGTCGAGATCCCATTGTTGGCCAGAGTCAGTGGGGGGTCCGCTCTGCCATCCCCACGGCCGGTGAACACGAACCTGCTTCCTCTGCGGGTCCCAGGCGCCCTTAACGCCGAGACGGAGACCAACCCGGGTCCTCTCGAGATGCCGGGCCCCATCCCGCCCTCCCGCTTCCTCCTCCCAGACATCGAGCTGCCCTGGAACCTCTGGTTCTGTGCCAGAGAAAAAAATCAAACCACATGAATGACACCCAGGAAACTGCCAGAGCCAGGGAGGGCCTGCCCCGGGCAGGCTGCGCCCCAGGTCCACAGGTGAGACCATGTGCGGGTCAGACAGGGAGTCGCGTTACCTAAACCCCCGGTATCGAGTGGACCCAGAGAGAAAACGCAAGCTGCACACTGAGATTGATTTCA